CGTGTCCACGGTGCCAATGAAACTTCGAAATGTTTTATATCGCACATAATACATAAATAAACGTTTTCTACGTTGGAATACTTTCGCGAGCCACTGTACGCTTCCAAAGCGGTCGTTGGAATCCGCTAGCATCTCCAAAAACTTTGCATCTTCTCAGGACCGTTTCTTCGACCTTTCTTGCCTGTGAGCGTGGTCGAGGCATGAATGACGATCAAAGAAGGTCGGCGGATCGTGTAAAACCGTCGTCGTAAATCCGTGCCATTTCTTCGCGTCCTCGGCGAGGCGCTATTTCGCGTATCGTTTCTTGGTGGGCGTGCCGTGAAGTTAGGATCGCTGTTCGTTGAAATACGAATGGTTTCGCAGATTTAAGCCAGCGTAATCTTGCACATGGCCACGCGTTTAATGGTGACATCCTCCTTGTCGACCGATGATCTTGCAGTTACTCTTGACCAACTTTCTGCCTTTGAACGATTACACTCTCACACAACCTCTATTAAACCATCTATTTTTAGTTCCATATAGCTGCAGTTTTCCAAGCGAATAAATACACCGCCGCTCGAAAGTATCCGGAGACAGTTGTTTCTTTTTCACATTTCCACACTCTTGAAATTCAACAGCGTTTATTTACATTGACGGCGAGGCGATTTCTTGGAAACAAAACTGAATGGACATAAGGAAAATTCGAGCGATCTAGTCCTGTACAACTATCGGTTCATCGAGTTCTTGCAGAACGAATTGCCGAATCTGGGTTAAGTATCGTTACATACACGGAATTTAACTCCAGTCAATATTGACTCAGCTTTCGTCGTATTACTTGGAATTCCAACTTGAGAAAGAAAGTTGCCGCTCTCCGCGAATCTTTCCAATACACGTAATCCTTTCTCCAGCTGGATAATTAAAATATATAGGTTGCTGATACGAGCGCGATATCGAAATGGAAATCGCTTTGCCGGATTTATCATATAGCCGGATCATCCTGTTATTTCGAATTTCATTGTTCCGGGATCTGGACAGGATTAAACGCTATTGTCTCTGAACGTGACATTTTTATACAGTTATACATATTATTATATTTTTAAATATTGTAAAAAATTACGCGGACATTCAAATTTTCGCAAATAACGATTTAGAAAAAAGATTCAAATCTTCTACTCTAAATAAAAGTTTCCTCTAAATAAAATATTTCATCGAATCTCCGATGGTTACAGAAATAACAGCGTAGATACGTTCAAATATAACACGTGTTAGCGCATAATCTTTTGTAAAGTAACGAAATCGTGCGCGCATTTACTTTTTTCTCGCCAACAGATTAAATTTATCCGCTACCTTTGTTATCAAAATATCGCGGTGTTCGCAGATGCTGATACGAGCTACGTGTGCCGATAGCCACGTGAATAATTCTCGGTCTGGATGACCTGGTTTAAAGTTCGAAACCGAGCGAAACCAAGACTACTATATAATACTTTTAACCTGTTATTTCACACACCAAGTTTTTGTTCGTGTCTCGAGAAACGAAAGCGGAAAATTATTATAAGAATGTATCCACGTATCTGTCAGTCTATAATATTAACTTAAACATCAGCGCACAGATTATAATTAAGATTTCGAGTCGAGGTCCAAAACAGGTTTTACCTGCTAATTGCATGCAATCAGGTGGATCAGGTTTCTGCGTTACTTTGAATCGAGATTTCTCCTAGTCATACTTGACAGATGTTCTCCTCAATTACTGCGAAAACCTGCCACTTGGCTTGCAAGACTCCGGTGCAATGAGACTGCCAGTAGTAAAGATTCTCAAAAATTGTTTTCAATTGTACAATGTTAAATGTATAATTATAATATACTAGACTGTATTACTAGGAAACCTGGAAATTAGAATTATCGAATAGCAGAGAACAAGAGACTGAGGATTGTCGCACGTAGCAGAAGTTACAGTAAAATGTCAAAATGTCGAGGATTGTAAGCGCGCCGCGCGATGATCTAAGGACCGAGGAATTTTAAAATGGAATTCAAAACGATAAATAAGATTTCACAGGAAACACGTGATGTGGAAAAGTGCGTGAAATCGCGTTTCGCGTCTAATCTTACGCTTACGAAAAGAGGTCGGTATCAAGAAACACGACGTTATCGTGTTCCGCCGAGATAAACGAAACAGCTTCCTGAACGGTCAGCCAAAAGCTTGGCGAAGCAATTTTTGTCACGGAAACGAGAAAGAGGAGCGAGGAACGATGCGGCAGCGTTTATACGGTTTCACTTTACACAGACTTTGCTCGCGTAATCGGATAGAATCGCACCTCACAGAAATTCAAGGTATTTCTTTCTCTTAAAGCAGGCCGATGTATCGAGGAAAAGATAAAACCTCCAAAGTGTCTAATAGAATACTACATACGTATATTTTTCTTCCATTTACGGGGAAAATAGAAAATTACGAATCACGTAGTATCGATCCTTCCACCTCGAGTATTTTCTTACCTGCAACAAAAAGAAAATATAGATTTGTTAGGAACCGGTTCTTAGTGCTCGGTGAATTATAATTATTTTATATCGAAGTGTTTCGAAAGTCAAGAAATTAACGATATTAATTTCATATTTTTCTCATCTTCGTTAAATTTGTTTTCTTATAAAAAAAATCGCAAGCTTGTATTTTCTGTATATTGGATTGGCAACTAAGTGATTGCGGATTTTGTCATCAGGCGGTATTGACAGAATATACAGAAAATACAAACTTGCGATTTTTTATAAAAAAAAAAACAAATTTAACGAACCCAGGAAAAACTGGTATCTTCATCACGAGGATTTCTTCGTTTCTGGCGTTTTATCGGGTTGGCAACTAGGTGATTGCGGATCTTGTCGATACCACTCAATGACAAAATCCGCAATCACTTAGTTGCCAACCCGATAGAACGCCAGAAACGAAGAAATCCTCGTGATAAAAATAGCAGTTTTAAATCTTCCTGTGTGCTGATCGGTAGTTACTTGGTTGCACCGTCAAAGGATGAAGGCAACGTGTAGTACAGAACGTTCGACAGGAATTACATCGAGCTCGAGAAAAGTGAATGTGACCCGTGTTAATTAACGTCGATACAATCGCCAGACAATCGTGTGCTCGATTGCTGTCGGAGAAGCAGTTACGGAGAAATCTAGCGCAAGGGTTGCATTGGATTGTGTAAGAGAAACAGAGACAAACCTACGTCGAACGGGGAATTTATTGTACCGGTTAAGTTGTATAGAGGTGTTCTTAGATAGTCGAGTATATCGATGGTTAGATAAATTCATAGATAGTTCTGGTAGAGAGTGGCAGGGGAAAACAGAAGCTGATAGAGGGGACGGTCGAAGCGATGGTAACAGAGAACCGCCACAGAAAGCCATTAACAAGTTCGACACGAAAGTCGGAAAGTTAGCGAAACTACCATGAATTGCTCGTTGGTGTTGGTATATCGTCAGTTTATAGCGCAAGTTCTACTCGCTACTGTCACGCTATATACACAGAGAAGTGCGCACGGCGGAAAACTTCATGAAAACTCTCCCTGCCTGCCGACCCGGCGAAACTTTTTAATTGATTTTATTTAGTCATCTCTCATCTCCCTCTCACGCTACCTTCTCCCTTTTTGCCGCTCCTATAATCGTAGCGTGTTTGTCGACTTGTCCCTTCACCGTTCCTGCATTTTCACCGTCGCAGAAACTACTGTCCGGAAACCCTGTCGATCTTACACCCCCAGGGCTCCGATTACCATGCCCCAGAAAGTCCTCTGGTACTACGCCAAAGGATTTAATCCACTGGAACACAACCCTCTTTTTCGATGACACGCTCGATAATCCTGTCCACGTTTTCATTATTTTTTTATACATCGATCAATGGCAATTCCGTAGACCATCGCACTATGTATTTCTTCGCTTTTTTTTTTTTTTTTTTTTG